CTCCAGACATATTAGTCACATTTCGGTACCCAATAGCCAAATATGGCTGGTGGCTACCATATTGGCCAGCATAGATCACAACTCTTCCTAAATATACCTTTCCTATACATCTCCCTTTATTTCCAAACACCCACAACCTTCTGTCACTTCAAGTCATGGCATTTTAGGTTCATGAGAGGGTGGGTTTGAAGTCCTTTGGTCTAGCCACTCCTTCTATAAAAACAGAGGGGCAGAGAGAACGTGTCTTGTTCAGTACTTTTGGCTTGCCCACCATTCTTGGTGCTAGCTTCACACTCAGTGCTCTGCCAGGCATGGCCAGTCTACTCCTTGGGTCAGATGGAACCCAGGGATGTGACTGGGGGAGTCTTCCATGCAGAATGAGGGATCCCCTCCTCCCTAGGTGGCCAGTGTGCCTGTGGTATAGGGACCTCAGGAAAGCTGCCTCTGTGTGCCTGTTGTGAGGTGCCCATGTGAGGTGACGGAAGCAGCTGGCAGCCTGGGGCCAGCTGGCTCTCCAACACGGAGGTCGAGCCAGTTAGTTGTACAGACCGTCTAGTCCAGGGATGGAGGGCAGACTGAGCACTAAGGCAGATGGGCCCAAAGCTAGTGCTCATTTACCCAGAGGTGGTACCCCTATGAGAGTGTGGGAAGGACCCGCAATCCTTCAGTGTTGTCCAGATAGTCTTTTTTTTTTTTTATCACTTATGTGTCTCATCTGCAAATGAAGAATATGTGACTATGAGTTGAGAATTTCCCAGGATGCTTTTTTGTCATTTGTAACCATTGACAGGTTTAATGCTTGTTTTCTTTCTTCTTCCTCACATTGTTCGGAACCTGCTCAAGGTCTCTTGACATCATCTTTATCTAGGATGCCAAAATTAATGAAATGACGATGAATCCATTTTTCTTTGTGAAGGAAAAATATTTTGACTCTTACAGTGAGGCTGCTCTGCTTCTGAGAAAACTGCAGTGGGTGCAGCACGAATAGTTTTCATTCCATCAAAACACACACTTTGCTCATTACCAAGAGCAGAGGGTAGGTTTGGGAAGGTACAGCCTCCCTGGCAGATGGGAACTTTTTTTTTTCTTTCTGCTTCCTATCCTCCATTTGTCTATACATTCCCCATCCTCCCCTTGTCTACATCATTATGTAATATTTTTTTCATTTATTATACTTTCAGAATGACCAAGAGACAGTATTCCCTTCATAAAAATCACATACATTGTTTGTGTGTCCACCCAGCTCAAGAATGGGGAGACACAATACAAAATAACACCCAAGAGCAGTCAAGTTAATAATTGGCTGAGGCAATAGTCAAAGTTTGTCTCAAAATCCTGGCAAGATGTAAGCTTAAACTGTGAAGAGAAGTTTCCCTTGCTAGTTTCTGAAGTCTATAAAACATCCTAATGAGCTGACTTGGTTTTATTTTCAGTGGGATATTTAGTCACAAACTTTTGATTTCTGCATTAGAAATTATTTGGGGAATACACATTATTCCAGCTATCAAACTAGAAAGGGATTTTTATTTTTTGGTACTAGTCTTATGTTGTAATGCACAAATAGGAGGTCCTCTAAGTGAAATTTGTCATTTCTGGTAAGGAACCAGGAATAATTTTGGGCAAAATCATAAGGAAAGTTTTAACAGGCATCACTTTTTGAAATAAGTTCTGGTAACTGAGGTCCAAGCAAGAAAAAGACCAGGACTCCTCCGTGCTGCAGGATGCTGGCTTTCAAATTGCTCAGTCAAGCTGCCTTCTGCAGGAAGGGTAGGGGGACATAAAGCTGGGCTTTGGGATACCATTCCTTCAGTTCAGCCCAATGGCTCCACTGTTATGCTGATTATAATTGCCTTTCCTATAGGACATATTCAAAGAAGGATTTCTGTTGCTAAGAAGTTTGAAAGATCACTCTTTTACTTTATTTTTGAAAGGATGCTTTAGGAATTCTTGTACCTGGAACTTTTATAAAACCAGAACAGATTCCCGCCCCCCCCCCCCCGCCCCTTCTCTGGAGAGAAGTGGCTTAAGAATAGTCTTTAACTTTTAACAGCTTTGACATTCCATGCCTAGGCCATCCCCATCCTGTGTGAGTCCTGTCCAGTACCCCCCCTTGACCAATGTCAGGGAGTGGGACTGGACAAGTTACCCTGTATGCAGGTGATAATTGATGCAACTGAACCTTGCATGTCCTTCCTGCTGTGGAGACCCACCACCCTGCTCAGAGACACTCTCTTGTACAACTGTGCTGACCATTTTATTCTGCAGATCCATCTTAATTCTGTAACCTTGCAGAAAAGAGCAAGCTCTGGAGACTTCAGTGAGACAGTTGTTTGAATTTTCAACCAGAGAATAAAGTGTTTAAAAGTTCTTTTTCTTTTCATGTTTAATTTTCAGCTATTAATAGCTTGCTTCCTACAATTATTGAAAGAACTGTCAATTCAGTTTGGGAGGAGAAAAACGTGTTTGTGGCTATCATGGGTCTCCCTTTGTGTTGAGAATGAGTACACAAGCAGCTGGAGAGTTGGAGAGTTACCTGTCAGGATGAATGCTGGGCAGAAAGAAGGGAACTAAGACTTCAGTAGTATAATAATCAAAGTCTCAGATCCACAGGGCTGCCTTCCCTAGCAGCATTGCTGTTAAAAGTTCTGCTGGTTTAGAAATGGAGGGCAAAAGCCCACATTTTCTGAAAGAAATAAAACCTAAATAAGCCAAGCCTTAGAATTTATTTTTGATGGGTTAACCACTTGCTGAGATACTACAAAATCCAACATAGCAAAAAATTTATATTATGGCAACATAATAGTTGTGATAGATTCTCAAATTCTGAGTAATTTTGGAGAAACAATTATTCTAGAGAGAAATGTTTTGAAAAGCACTTGGGGCCTGTTCTCCTAATTTCCTGCTATGCTTTGGCTGATGGAGATCAATGGGAAAGTATAGTTTCGCCAGCCTCAGATAAAGAGGTTACTCTGATCAAGGATACTTATAAATATATTTTAAAGTATCATTAGTGTCTATAAAGAAAGAAAAAAAGGTCCAGGAGCCAGTGGGAAACCAGCCAGTTTTTAAGCTGGCTCTTCTCTACAACTTGCTGAAAATAAGGAAAGGAAATTATATGAATTTTCCTCAAAAGTACAGAATAATTTATATAAGGAGAGACTGTACAAAAGTTCTAATTTGTATTTTTTCTCCATCCCACCTATTCCTATTACACTAAAAAAAATATATTTTGGTAAAAAAACATTTTTATTACTAAGATCCAAATATGATTTATCACTTTTGGATCTGGGTCACATTTAATTCCCCTCCTTCATTTTCTCCTCTATTTTGTCAGATGATGGTTTGTAGGCAATGGAGACCCTTTCCAGAGCTCTTTCATCCTGAAGACTATTTCTTTGGGGAAGCAGCTCATGAGCATCAGCACACGCAGTAGGCCCCTGGGAATGGTTGACCCACATGGTTTTCAAGTGACTCATAGTAGGGCCCGAGAGGTGTGTGCCATCCACTTGCAGCAGGACTGGAAAGCCCTGGGTGTCTTTCCTGTACTGTTGCCTATCACTGCCCAGCAGAGGGTAAATCCCCCTACAGGGGGATGGGGAAGAAGCCTTTTGATCTCCAAGCCTGAAATGTACCGGGTGGATGTTGTTTGCAGGAGCTCACATTGCAGGTGCTTTATGAAGTAGGTGAACAACAGCTCCAGAGAACTTCAGCCAACTCCTCACATGGTGCCTCTGGACTTCCTGCTTCAGCTTTCACACACTTTAGCCATCAGTTCTGCAAAGCCAAAAGGACCAATCTCTAACATTACGGACGTTTTGTACTGGAAGAAGCACTTGGACTTATGGTATTGGAAGTACACGTCTAAAGCTTTTCAATGGTGCATCATCTTATTTTCCTGGTGGATTTAGGGTTTCTTACCAGGGCTCAGATGTCTTAGGTCCCATCTAACATTCGGCCGTTTCTTGCTCAGGCTGTGTGAATACCGTGTATGTACACAGGATTTCTGACTTGGCGCATTTCTTCCAGTGTGTGCATCCTGGCAGAAGCCACGCCAGCAGGCCTTGAGAACTACTGCTGCTTCACTTCACATCATGAATATTCAGAGGCTGCAGTCCGTGAGGACTCAGGTGGCAAAAATAGTAAGGTGATTGAAGCAAACCCTAACACGAAAGCCGATCTCCATTTCAGTGTCTCCGAAACCCTGATTGCCGCACAGATTGCCCATTCTCTGACCCGTGGACCACATGAGAGGAGAGTCCTGGGGAACTCCTCTGAATCGGGCATCTGTTCCATACACCAACATGCTCACGCCTTTCTGTATGATGTGTTGTAATCAGCATGTTGTTTTTAAAAGACAACAGGCCCTTCTGTAGTCCTCTCCCACAAGATGCATTTGGGCTGACAGTTCAGCATAAAGGACACAGTGTTGAGACCAGCAATACATGCATTGTTTTCCCTGTAATGCAGTCAGGGTCTCCGTAGCAAAATTTAGTGCACTTTGTGAAATCTTATTTTATATATTTTGTCACCATCAGCAGTTAAACTAAAGTAGGAGCAGCTCCATTCTCTTATGGGTTAAATTATGCTCTGTGCAGAACTAGTGGTGATGTATAAATTGCAGCCCTGTCTTTTTTTCGAAGGATTCTAAAATAGGTTTTCAGAATTAGTACTGGATTTTCGCTCCTGCATGTGTGGTGACTCTGGATTTTCTCCCTTCGGAGAAGCATCCTTTGCAGCATTCCCCCTTCCGAGGCATCACTTAGACACTTCCAGCTGGTGGCAGGGGATACGGCCATAATACAGCTTCCTGTGCCCCAGCTGTCTTTTTCACTACGCTAAATGCATTACGATGGCTGCACTCTCGTGTAAAGGTTCAGGTGGAGGAAGGTGGAAGATGAAGTCTGGAGACCGGCTTTTGGGTTTTTAAATGCTGCAACTGCTACAGCATCTTTGCCTTTTGCATGTCTTCCTGCTTCTGGTCAAAGGGCTCTCTCCAGTGATTGGAATGCTGCCGTAAGCCTGGCTAAAGGTGCCCGAGATCACCTCAGACGAGGAAGCCCTGCGTGCTTGAGAAGATCTTTTTAAATGCATTATGGCTCATGCAGCCTCACAATTAAAGAAAAACAGGGATTTAGAAATCAATGCTGAAGAAGAGACTGAGAAAAAAAGGAAACACCGCAAACGGTCCCGGGATCGGAAGAAAAAGGTAGTTGTCTCTGCCAGAGCATATATCTTGCCTGGGTTCTTTTTGTTTTAATCTCCTCCCGGCGCCTGTTTAGAGGCATGAAGGGCTATTTTTACATGCTGTATAGGGTATAAATTGGGAACAGATGCTGAAACCCAGTGTTAGACCACGGCCCAGGATGGGCTACAGGCGAGGGAAGATTTGATCTTGTGTGGGGGAGATTGCAGTGCTGATGCGGAAGGTGTGCTTGCACTTCACATGGGCAGGGGCATGTTGCCAGGACACAGAAAGGTGTTGCAAGGGAGTTAAAAGTAGTTTCTTCTCAGCCCCGTCAAGGTTAAATGGACTACAGGGACTCAGGTTCAAGGGAGAGGCCGGAGAGCCAGTCTTTGTACTTCTTGGATGTCTGTCTCGTGGAAAAGGAGCTTTTGTGCTAGAACTACTGTCACATGTGTGCGTTTCTCAGGCAGATCTGTGACCTTAAAGACGTAGCAAAAAAGTCATTTCCTGCTTCGCTTTCCTCCCCCTTCTTTCTTTTCTTTTGCCTCTTATTTGTACGAGGTGCTTTGAGTTAGCTTGTGCAATGGAAATAAGCTGCCAGAAATAACTTTCTTTTGTTAAATGAAGCTAAAATCACAGAGGTTTGTTTTTCTCTGCTAGGGGAGAGAGATTATCCTGAATGCAGGAATTCCCATGGCCCGGCAGGGACCTGCAGGCTTCAACACTGATTGCTTCTGATTAAAGCATGAGCATTGATCATCCCCAACTGATATTCTAAGGTGTTAGGAAGTGGGGGGAGGAGGAATATTCTAGGTCAGTGGTGTTTTATTACAGCCTGAGAGTACTTATTGAGTGTTTAGTGGCTGTGCCCTTAAGTATGACTCCTAGGTACCCGGTGGGTAGCGAGGGCCCAAAGCACTTTTCCTCCACGGCAATTAATAAAAATTGACTAAAACTCTGTGATCTGAATATGAAAGTCAGGTCATAAAGCATTTTTATGTCTCTTTGTGAGAATTCCCAAGGGAAAGATAATCTTAATTTGCTCTGAGCACTGATGCATGTGCCTTCCAAATGACATGCAGATTTCATCCACCACATGTACCTCTTTTCAGGGTTGATCATGAATATTTTTGGTGCCTTTGTCATCTTCTCCAGAGTTAGGGTCTGCAAAAGAAGACTCTCTGCCTTTTGTTACATGGCAGGCTTGATGAAGTTGAGTCTGGAGGGCTACAGTTGCTTTGCTGCAAGATGTTAAATATAGACCCTTCCCCCTTCAATATTCCTGTAAATTAACTTTTTTGAATGTATTTTCACAAGAGTACAAACTCAGGTTAGGAAATTCTGTGCAAGCGTATTTCAAAGCCCTGCACAGCAGAGTTATGGAATTGCCATATTTTGCTAGGTTCTGGTCAAATTGTACTGTACTAGGCTGTCTCTGGGTAGGTCATTATTGAGTGCCCCCTCTCCACCCATCTTTACCCACTCCCACCACCATAAACTGGCTTCTAAGAAACCATGGGGGAAGGTACATATATTTGCATAAAGATACAAAGTCATCATTGCTGTTCATACTCTGTGTAACAGTTGTTAGCTGAGCCAGGCTTATGCACTGCAGTTTCCTGTAGTGATGACAGGCCCGCTGCCTTGGGGCCTGGGCCCCTGTTTGACTTGGACGCAAAATAGGGAAGGGGTGAGGGTGAGGCAAAGGGAGCTTCTGGACTCACTGAGCTGGAGCAAATGCTTTGTGGACCAAACTGCTTTGTTATGAGTACAACAGAGTCCGTCCAATGTAAATCTCTTAGCAACCAGAAGGGAACATGGAGAAATATCAATATCGCTATGTCAGTGTGCAAGCAGATTTAAATGTTTTATTCTCGGGACGGTCACAGAGTTGATCCAGAAAGTGGCTTGAGAATAATGCTTTTGCTGCTGTTGTACTAGTGTATTTCAGGAGATTTAAATATTCAAAGTCCAGAGATTTCAGGGACTACTTTCCAAGTGTAAAGGCAAGATTAGATTACTTTGAAGACATAATCTAGGTTCTTTTTTGGTCACAAAGCATATATACCACTTACTCTGTACAAAGTGGATTATTTTGACTTGAGGTTTCTTTTTCCTCCCTTTTCCCTAAGATCCTAATGAAGGCTTGTGGGTTACTTTGCTCCATATTGTAGGTCGCGTGTCAATCAGAAAAGCTGCTTTTATATTCTTTATGGGTTACTGTGGGGTTCGCTGCTCTTGCTCACATGTAGAAATATCCTCTAGGATCTTTTAATTACATAAAAGTAATACTGAGTAGTCTCACAAAATAGAAAAGCTTAAGAAAAACATAAAGAGTATCTAATTTGTAAATCAAATCATAATACATATATAAAATTAACACTGCATTCACATTTCATCATTTTTTTTGAAAATCCACATATGATCTTTTATGATTATTGATAACCATGAATAGGTGATTACCAATCAAAAAAATAGACTTCTAGGAATTTTTAATGACTTGAATTTTAATAACGATGTGTGTTATTCTTACCATAGCAACCTTAGGGTCCAGAAAAAGATCTTTCTGTTTGTTAAAGGACATACAGCTAAATGAATGAACCCTTAATCTTTTCATCACCAGTTTTTCTGACTTGGAGCAAAAAAAAAGAAAGAAAAAAATCCAAAAACCTTTTCATGAGTATTTTGTTTAAAAGTTTCTTTCCACTGCATTTACAAATCTCCCTTATGCACCCTTTCCCATTGCTCTTCCCTGCTAGATATTCCCCTTCACTCTTCCTATCCTGACAGGCTGCTGAGGCTGGCTGTGAGTGGGTGGCATGCCAAAGGTAGACAGAGTGCCTTTGAGTGGCTTAACACTGGATCCATGCCCTGACTGAGCAAGTTGCAGAGAGGAACTCTTTATATTCGCTGCACTGAGCAATATCCTGGCCCACGGGCGGTGGTCAGTAAATGACCCAAACTACCATAGATTCATGAGGGCTGGAAGTCACAAAGGCTCTCAGGCCCACACTTCCCTTCTTGCCTCTGGCCTCTGGTGCCGAGTTACCAACATATTTTGCCTTCTCTCTGGGTAAACTATAAAATACATTTCAATAATGAGGGGTATTAGGAGACTTGACCTTAACCTATTCAATAATTTGTTTTAATGTTCACAAGTATCCTTGTATATATTTATTACATCCTATCAAAAAAAACCCACTTTGAGGTGATCTAAGGAAAAAAGAAACACATATTTATGTGTGTGTGTGTGTGTGTGTGTGTGTGTGTGTGTATCCCTGACAGAGGATAATATATACTGGGATAAAGTGGCAGTAAATTTTATGATTAATATCTTTTGTAATTATTGATGTCAGACTCCTACAACTTTTCAGTGTTAGAGCAGGAATGAATATCCATTCCTTTATGTTTGCATTCATGCATTCATGCATTCATTCAGCAAACATTTACTGAGTGACTTCTGTGGATCAGGCATGGCATTGAGTAGTGGGGACAAAACTAACAGAAGCAGAATGGCAGCAGCGCGGTAACTCCCTGCAGAGACGAGAGAAAGATATGAGCACCAGTAATCACCCTGCATAACATGTGGAAGAGAGCACGGGAGTCCTTAGGAAGACTCCCAGTTGAACTTGAATGGGCTCAGAGATGGTTTTTGGTGAAGCTGAGCCCTAGAGGAGGAGGGAGGAGGGAGGAGGGAGGAGGGGAGCAAGACAGGCAGGCAGAAGGACAGGAATCCTATGCCCAAAGTGGTGGAAGTAAGAGGCAATGTTCAGGTGTTTGAAAAACATAAGTAAGGAGCAAAGGGCACAAGAGTGTATGGCAGGAAAAATGGCCAGAAAAGTAGTCAGAAGCCAGGTCATGAAGACCTCTGTATGCCATCTCACAAGGTTGGAAATGACCCTCTCAAAGGAGAGGGACTCAAACCACCTTGACTGCAGGCGGGAGGAGGAGGAACTGAACGGCTGTATGGCTTCGAACCGTCACTTGGGTGTCCGTGTTGCAGACAGCAGCCGGAGAGCCATCCGGAAGTGCTGGTGATGATTCAGGAATCAGAGATGCTGAGGGTCTGAACCAGGCCAGAGACTCTGACAGAGGAGAGGGGGTGTTGCATCCAAGAGATATTTAGGGGAAGACTCAACAGAACTTGGCAATGGACTGGATGTAGGATGTGAGAGGGAGAGATCGGATTCTAGGGTAACTGCCAAGTTCCTGGCTTGAAGCGGAAAATGAATAATTAAATTTCCTGGATTCATGTCTTTTCTCCCAGGACATTTATTGACCACTTAAAATATACCAGGTAGGGTTTTTAAATTGCTTTGTAGGTAGATGCTTACTTAATCTTGACAAAAACCCTACAAAGAAAATATTTTTATTATCCCCATTTTATAAATGAGGAAACTGAGGCATGAGCCCAATAAGCTGTTCCCGTACTATTTAGTGACAGGTCTAAGATTCCAGCATGGAAAGTCTAACTCTAGCTCATATTTTTACCTACAACATGAAACAGCATATGTAATTAATATTTTCACAGCTATATATCAAAATGGATTTGATTCAGAGAATCTTCTAAGTGATCAGCTACTTCCTAGACACTGAGAGCCTTAAATAACAAGCTTTATATCTCTAACTCAGTGCAGTCTGAGCAGTGTGTCTTTCTTCCCTTCTGCAATAGATTATTTTTAAAAATATTTATGGGGGGGGGAGAGAGAACACGAGCAGGGGAAGGGGCACAGGGAGAGGGAAAGAGAGAATCTCCAGCAGACTCCCCACTGAGCATGGAGTCCAATGTGGGGCTTGATCCCACAACCTTGAGATCATGACCTGAGCCGAAATCAGGAGTCAGATGTTTAACTGACTGAGCCACCCACGTGCCCTCCACCGCCAAAATAGTTTAGTGTTTTACCCGAAGAATTTCTTTTTAAATTTTTGAAAATAAAAGAAGACTACCAACACCAGGACTTCAAATCCTCAAAGACATGTCACTATAATGACATAACAGTGTCTTAGGTGCTTGCTGTATA